CGACTAAACCAACTAGCTCAGTGAACACTATTAATTGATTTGCAGTTTGTTTAAATGGTTCAAAAAGCAACATACTTCACAGTTACACCACCTCATAATGTTATACACAGACCTAGGAAGATAGTTAGTATCTTGCTCAGTAATCTATCGACACGAAACCCTGGATCTAAGTTCCGTGCTTATTGATACACTTCTAGCAAGGCATTTTTGAGACCTCTAAATAAGCGATTTTCTCTCTGAGACTGTAACCAACACTGCCTACTGCTACTGATTGTTTTCAACCAATCATCGCCAGTTTAAAGTACTATTACCTAGCAAATCTCATCGCTTGAATAGTGCAATACACGCTTAACTGATCGAATTTAGGCAGCGATGAGAACAATGGTTGCTACTGTGTGAGTCATCAAGAGAAATATGGTCTATTTGAATTATTGTAGAGCCATCCTTCCCACTTATTTAACGACAGTTACTCAATGCAAGACTAAGGAATCTCATAAACTAGTTTCAAATAGAAGGAACCTCCCTTCACACTGAAATTTGGCGCTGAGGATTTTAACCAGAAGGATATTAAAGGCTTCGGAATGAAACCATTCAGCTCAACACTAAAGGCGTCATATACCCGCCCTCTCTTCTCTCTCTCAAGCGCTTGTGCCTATCTACTCATAAAATACACACACATTAGACGGACATCAGAAAATGATGTCCACTACAGAATACTTGAGAATCAAGGAACATTGAACAGTTAGGTACCTATTCTTGCTTTGCAATAATTCGGCATTGAGGTTTGGTAAAAACCCAATCTACAATAACAACTGACCATAAGGAATTTGAAGTACGATCAAAACTACCATTTAATAGACTATATCAATGACAAACAGCATTTGTTGGTATAAATCGATGCGTTATCTAGATTGATTTAGCATCCAGTAAACTACTCCATCAAAGACTTTTTTCAGATTGTGAAACTGAGAAAAGCATTAAATGTATTCCATATTTTTTCAATAATTGGTAGTGTTGTGTATGTTCCATCTATTTTCTAATCGAGGCAAAATGTTAAGAACACAGACCCCCACATAGCGAGAGTTCATCGATTCATCACTAAGAAGTACCCGTTGGCATATATCGAGTCTTTCCTACAGATGCTGACTAAATTTCATCAGTCAAACTCGTAACGGAGTCATCATGCCAGGTAACTTGCCATTGCAGTGCAATTTCAACACATTTTAAATGGTTGAAGGTGATTGATAGGAATGGGTATTATTGGTTAGAATCCCAGAGACGACACCAGTTTTTCGGGGGTAGGGAGGTTTGCGGATATGCCATTCTACCGATTACTAAAATGCACAAAATCTTGATCTAGGGCTTTCTCTTGACAGCTTCTAACCACCCAGGATCAGTTCAATTCGCAAAATAATGGTGACTCACCCAGCCTAGTGACCGTATTGCAAAGCCAACTGGTAGATTTCTGTCAGTCAGCACCAACACATAGGTTTAGACACACGACACCAGTTACACCTTAGTAACTAATCAATGCATCCATTCCAGTCCTATGACAGGTTGATAGTTAGCCCGGACTTTTTTATTCCCTTATGTTCCCAATGACGTATATTTTCAAAAAGTGCATGAAAACACATTAAACAGGTTATCTTTCTCTGACATGACCTAAAAATGCATCCCAGGTGTAATAAGGAGTTTCAGTTGCCAAGTTAGACTAGTTTCTATACATGTATTCCCCAAAGGTGACTGAAGATGAACTGTTTTTGTGATTCGTTCATCTCTCTTATCCTGTTCTGCAGTCCTCCCCAAAGCCCTTGGTTGAATTACTAAGGTTTCCAGTAAGAGGGTCAACGAATACTTACCAGAAAAATGTGGATAATGAAACAAATAAATAAATGACGTCAACTATAAATCTATCCCTAATCGAAACCCTCACATAAATCCTTACCTTAATCATAACCCTTATCCAAACCGTAGTTCTAACCCTAATGGTAATTATAACCCTGATCCTAATACATTGTCCAAACAGTACTTAAAAACGTGTTCTGGGTGAAATTTGCTGCTAAGCTGGTGAATACCGTTGATATTTCAGATGTGATTACGACAGGTGCCATTAGCCATCGACTAGCATGTGTTCAAGGCCACTGGAGCGTTCGCACTCCTGTGATGCTATTTTCGAACTTCGCCGCTTCATGCCCACTTTACCAGTCTTATCACAAGCTTGGCCAGGTAAAAGAGTGCGTCTGTGGCCGCACATCGAACCCCAAACCACATGCGTAGTCGGTGAGGATTCTACCGGTTTTTCAATTATCTGGGATAGCTCAGTAGTAGTGCCTACTGAAAAATCAATGTGTAATGACAGCTTAAATATCCAAGTAGATATCAATCTTTTCAAGGTCTTAGATAAGCCTTGCTGACGAGTGCAAAGAACCACTACTGATTGTCTTCAACCTTTTGACACCAATCAACAAAACCTGCGTAACGCGGTTGGAAGGAATATTTACAATAATTGACTTGCTCAAGAAATTATATTTACAGTATAAAAGATTTTCAGAACAGATAATATGCATTAACTCCTTCTTTCCACATTCACTTACAGTTACATTTATTTATTCTATTGGGAATAGTTTATGTGAGAATAGAGTATCAGTATCTCTTTGCATGAAACCATCAAAAATTTAGGATTTAAAGAAACACATTCTAACTATGACTACTGAGGACTTCCTCTATTCTATCCGTTTTGTCCTCATTTATAACTCATCAATGTGTTACATCACTAACGACTGAAAAAACTCATGTGTCACCTGAAATTCACATGTGTCTCCCACTACTGAAATGGAAATTCGTGCTGAGCAACTGAAGACACAAATCACCCTGCTCCAAAAGTATACGGTGTAAAATTATTAGCAATCAGATGAAATCAAGTATGGTTATCAATTTCTTGGTTCCTATCAAAATCTAAGTGTGAAACAATTAGCGTATACTCTGTGCCAATGTGATTTGCTGCTTCAGGTGAGTACTGACAAAAAGCCGTCAAATTAGGTTTTGCGCTTTGTGACACTCAAATACAAGTCAGTTTTGTCAAATTCACTCCGGCAGTATGTCAACTGGTTTATTTGATATTGTGATGAACCAGTCGGTATACTTTGGTCATGGTCTCAAATTGATATATGTTTAAGTGCAGTTGCTGCTTTTCTGAATTCACCGGAAAGGATTAGCTATAAATGGACGCCTTTTTAACACTTGTTACTGTATATTTGATCAAAGAAATACCTATTGCTCTTGCTGCATTAAAACTTAGACTTAAATATGAAGTATTACCATCTGTCTGACTTCTGCTCACCTTTCTAGTGTTTACGTAGAGTAGGATATAACCGTAAATAGAAATGCTTCAATTTGAAGTATGCGCTGAAGATGTCACCCAGTAAGGTGATGAAAGCTTCGCAAACTAACCATCCAGCTCAGAGAACAAAACCACATCAAAATCATCCACCTGAGCTACAAATCTTCTCTAACATTAAAACTGTGTTTAGCCATCATTTTTCAGCCTTTATATTGATATCAGAAGATAAATTTGTTAGTTCTTCAGTTAAAGGAAACTGACAGGAGATAGCCGTTTAAATACAGCGCGACAAGAAAAGTCTACATAGATTATTTCACATTTATCCAGTGTATTGTGGCATTTCCAAAGCATAAGACGTCCAAAGCTTATTCTGTACAGTGATATATACAACAATTCAACGACTTTCCGAGAAAAGAGATATTTGAAAATGATATCAGGGTTTATATCGCTTTTGAAAAAACATTATTGGGTCTAAGTGAAACTCCCAGCTTAAACTGTGGAAGATAAAAAATAAATTCCTTGCGAAAGCCTCCAAGTGGTGATGACTGCCCTCCTACAGGAATTATTGCTCTAAAATAGACTGATAAATAATAAAACAACATGAGCATCGTCTCTCACTTTGGACTACTTACTGTAGAATAACTAAAAGCTTGATCTCAAATTCAATGAAACATTTTGCATAGGAAGAACTGGAAAACTTGTATTGTAAATTATGTGAACCGTATGTGAAGCACATGGAAGGAAAATATTTCCTGACTATTTTTAAGAATATTTCGGCAGAATGAGGTGTCATAACTTAGTCAGATCCACTGATAAAGTAGATGGGTTTCGTTTCACATGTTTTTATCTGGAATCAGGCATTTTAATTATGATGGAAAACTAGATATCCTTTATGTCCAACGGCAAGAAAATGTGACGAGACAAAGAATTCAGATACATCACTGGACCAATTATGCATTGTTAACTGAGCATCTAAAGTTGCATCGCTAAACCACACAAAAATCTGTGAAATGTGATTGGATTATTTCTACTTTTTAACAATTCAACAACCCATGTAAAACATTAAAAGAAAAATCAGAAACAATCAGGATATTTTCAGCATACTTTTTGAATGATATCAGTACAGATGGCAGAATAGAAGAAATAATATATTGCTGAAACAGAAGGGTTTACAGTTAGTAACCGACTGCTAGAGAAGGTTAGAATTAAAACCCTGAGGTGTGATTATAGATCATTTGAGTCTAGCCTAAACATCAGCAAGTAAGGAGAACTGATCGTCTTCGTGAAAGTGCCTTAGGCTGCGAGCTCATACAAAAAACTGTCCGTAGTTAGCACCATAGCTTCAGGATTAAAATATTCCAGTGGCAGACGCAGCGGTCTCTTATAATTTCGCTACATTAGTGAGAATTGGTATGGTAGTGGTTATGTCGCTTAAAGTAAACAATAAAATATTTAGGAGGTTTATACTAGCTTGTAATCAGGATACTGGATATTGGACTTATGGCCCTCTGTTACAGACAACAATATCTTCGACATTATCTTAATAAAACGGTTTGTACATATAATTTGAAGGGCCTTTTCATCAAAAATAAATTTGTAGTTATGAAACGTATTTTAGTCAGTTAATTAGTTGTGTAAAAGTTTAAAGCAAATTACTCACTTTGGCTTTGCCTTGAAGATTCTGTGGACTACTTTGGTATGCAATATTTCTAAATGAAAACGTTTTACTGATGTTTGGGCCTGTAGTGAAGTTCAATACACTCCTTTTAGGCACTCCATTTGGTACATGTTTTTTATTAAATCCTGAGTATTCATTAGAAGGCCTGTTATTGGGAATAAGATTTTCCCACTGTCTCGGTAGCCCAACATATTCACCAGTTCTGGGGTCGTAATTTACATGTGTAGAGTGCTGTACACTGATTGGTGCTGTTATATCAAATTTACTGAGCTTCATTTGTCTGTAACATAGACTTTTTAAAATATAATGCTTATAAATCCCATTTTATTTTCCTTCATATAACGCGCTACTTTTATTATTTACAGTTGTGAAACGAACAAACAACCTGTTAACCAATATCCAATATCCTGATTGCGAGCTAGTATAAACCAGTGATTTCTTTGAGCTCGATTCTTGATTGTGAGGTAGAGGTTCCGGATGTTCGGTGAGCTTCCGCGTAGTAAGCCCCGCCACTCTACTGCTTTAGCTCTGGTAGACTCCAGGAGGAGTGGTGCGGAGATTGGTCGAGATGTGGTTTGTAGTATGCAGTATGTTAGGACTGTATTGCTGCCGTGAATGGAGTTTGACCTAACTCCCGTTGGTCATTCGGTGTAGTCATAAAAGCAGAATGGTAATGATAATAATAGGTTGTAGTGTAAATAATATGGGTTGAGATAAGTGAAATAATAAAGGTGACCTAAGGAAAAGATAGAGTAGTCGATACAGTAAGAGAAGGCGGATCAGGTCGTGGGGATTTAGTTTGTATGGTTATCCATTGACAGTGTGGTTTTAATTTTCATTAGGATAAGCCATTGAGACACAAACCTTGCATTTTTGCATGATTGTCTAGCCTCCGCTTAAAAATCTCCACAGATGGCGGTGTAGTCACGGCCGCCGGTGAAGCGTTCCAGAGACGGCAAACTGGAAGCGAAAGGAAATGTGATCGCACTCGAGTCTTTGGTCTCTGGTGTGCTATCCTTAGCGGGTTACCTTGTGGAAGCCTATAATCACTTAATGGCAGGATGCTTTTATTTGGGTGGGCCTGGTCATTTAAGATCTTGTAGACGGTGATGAGGTCTCCCCTGTACCTACGGTAACTAAGTGTGAAAAGACCTAATTGCTTCAGTCTTTCCTCGTATGATTTGTTGCGGAGGCCGATCACCCATTTTGTCGCTCGTCTCTGGACACTTTCTAGAATGTTAGCATCCCTTTTGAGTAACGGAGGTGCAATGATATTATGCACCTCAAGGTGTGGCCTCACATATGCGTGGGCTTTGGCGACGTCCCTCGCGTAATTTCCACTGGTGTCTAGCTTTTCTGTTAGAATAAGACCTAGATCACGCTATGATGGAACACAACTCAAGCTCTGGCCACCAAGAGTGTAATTTACACTCTGTGACCTGCCGGAATGAAGTTGCACTACTTTGCACTTCTTTAGGTTGAAAGGCATTCCGTTAGCCAGAGCCCAGTCTCCCAGAGTTTGCAGGTCAGCCTACAGTCTGTTTGAGTCTTCCGATGAATTTATTGCTCTCCAAATCTTTACTTCGTCAGCGTAAAGATATCATTTTCACAACCTAGGTCAGTTTTTTGGGACTAAGTTCCTAGTAATTAGGAAAATTCCTCCGCACTTTAGTTAGCTTCCCAGTAGTTTGTCCTGTTATTAGCTTGTCGTGGCTTCTCTTAGACTTATCTAGGAGAAGAATTACGTCGAGCTACTGTGAAACTAAATAATAAACGAAATTTTCGTGTCTTCGCTAGGTCCTAGGAAAGTCTTATTAGATTTCAGTCATATTTGATTAGTTATATGCAGCTGTTTCCATTTGTCTTTAGGAAAGTGGGCTATTATAGTTGGTTTTGAAAATGCACCATTAAGACCTATGAGTTAAAGGCCGGCAACACTAATCAATAATCTAGAGATTGCGAGAAAGCCCAGTAGAGTGCGCAACAATATGATTGTACGCTTTTTGTTAGATGTTGAAATTAGAGACATTATACATGACTTTTGTTTAAAAAGATTAATGTTCAAACACAGGTAACCTCTGAGTACAATCCGGAATACAGTGTACTGTTGGTAGCTTTGCCTTCTCACTGGTCATTACTGTCTACTTGCTCCACTCATACCGTGTTGTATACTCTGGATTCATTACAGGAACCTATTATCCTTATCCGAAGACAGCCCCACAACCGGCACATAGCTTCTACCAGTAGATTCCAAAAGTGAACGCTTGTGTGGATTATATTAATAACTTGTAGCAGTGGACTTTAACAGTATATCCAAGTAACCTTTTAAATAATATAAATCATCACTGTATTTTTTGTTATATATTGTTACACTATCACCTCAGTGACTTGGATTTTTATTGGCATACTTGTTATGTTATTGAGCTCGCTAGACAGTCCCCTACAAATATTCTCCCTGGATAAATTAGTACCACGAAAATGGAGCTACAAAGCTACCAGTTGGATCTAAGTGGTAAAGGAAGAATTGAAAATTCAGTGGTGAGATAAAGTGCTTATTGTCAGTCGTGAAGCTGGCTAAAATAAGTGCCGAGATCAGGAGGAAATAGACATGTGCTTCTGAAGGCTTATTTTTTCAATCTGAACCCAAGGAATAATAATATTAATGGTACTACTAATAATAGTGGCATTGGTAAAAATAATAAAACTCCAGGGCAGCATGTTTGTAGACGAATATTCCTAATTACCTGCAACTTCTAGATTTCTCCAAGTCGTTGGAATGCCGTTCGCCCTTCGATGGAAATTACGCTAGATTAGAAAGGGCAATTTATCATTATTTGGTTTTGAATCTTGTACGGAGAAGGCTGATTAAATATTTTTATAGTTTCTAACTACTTTTGCCAGTACGCGGCAAATAATTAAATTCAGGTTGCATTTTGTGGTTATTATCGTATCACTAACCCCTGTTTAGTATTTTCATTATGTGACTCTGGTGAAAGTGTTCATCTAATGTACTGGAGTCCTCCAGATATATGAGTTCATTCAGTACTGCGGAAAAACAAGCCGTATGAAATCGACAGAATTCCACAGGAGTACCCAACGAATACTGACGTAATTGATCGTCTCATTCTTAATATGCATAATGATCGATGAATCATCGTTATTAAAAACAGAAGTCGTCACGGACACGTAACGTAGAACCTTCTGAAGAAGTTACCGAAAGAATCTGTATCGCGGTACGTTCAACGTTTGCGTTACATTTTTACGTGATTCGTTACATAAAATTTATCTTGTTGTAATACTTGCACAAGTACTATACCACTTCCATATTTGTAACCATTAACTCTCATTTCTAATAGTTATGGTTAATCAAAGTAAAAAGCAACGAACCCAATCCCCTGTAAAACTGGTGTCTAATTTAACGTCCTTGATTGCTACATCAAGCAACACCCTCCCAACAAACGGCTATAATGAGTCACATAACTCACTTGTATGCCGTAAGCGTCGAGCTGGAACTGAGGATAAAACTGCACTGACAGCTAGTATTAGCACTACTCCTAAAAATTCAGTACCCTCTGCTCATACAGAACTCCTCCCTTCACCTTATGTGCTTATCGAAAAACTCCAGCCATCAAGCTTTTTTCAGTACTGTCTTCAGAAATAGAACTTCTAAAGTTGTCTATAGGAGAACTTAAGGCTGAGTTGAAGGAAATAAAAACAATAAGTCAGTAAATGCTGGAAATTCTGAAACCAGTACCGAGATATCTAAATTATCAGATCAGATCAACGGTAGCAGATCGCAGGTCTGTGAAATGATACCTATAACTATCCCCATGACAACTGTAAACTTTAACAAGCTTGACACAGAATCGGTAACTAAGGTAGATAACCTCATTAACCACAGAAGTAACAAAACGACTCGACGCAAAACTGAGTGCTATTATCTACAACGTTCCGGACAATGAGGCATTAAAAAAGGTACAGCGCATCTTACTTAGTGAGGCGAAAATGCCTACTCGTTTTCAGTTCTTAAATAAGCCCACATTCTCCACGGTCAATAGTATTAGCACTCACAACGTGCTAAACCGCACCATGGCACACACTAATATCCAATGTCACAACAATGTCGCCCTCAATAGTACAAGTGGTAATAGTCAGAACTCGGCTACCAAAAACTCAGGGTCTTCAGAGTATGGCACACAAACAAATTTCGACCGGATATATGGTACAAGTCTGCTGCGAACTAACCCACATTGTAGTACACACGAAACCCACACAAGGACGCAACTGGCATCAAACAAGAGGTGGAATAACAAGCCATGGTCATCACAAGGATCCAATCATTTTTTATCCCCCGCGTCCCTGTCAGCGTTGAAAAAACAGCTAGTAGGGATGTTAACACTCCTAAACCACTAGTGCTGGCTCCCTCCCTGCATGAAAACATGAACGGTCTAGTGTACCTGTATCCATTAGGCACACTTGACACTTGCACAAGTATAGGTCAAATAAAGAACCCTGCCCACTTCTGTAACCCAACTAAAAATAAAATCTCCTTAGTCCATAGCATATCTAGTACTCCAACTCCTAATTCTTCACCGAAAACAGCACACACCGACTCGATAGACATAGGTGAGCATGATGCTGGAACTCCTCTTAACATAGGATCGTCATGTCCAGCAAACCTACCGGGTGCTGAACCATATTCGCGGCTGACTAACGAACTTAAATACTTCAAATGCTACTTCAACTCTCATCTTTACCTAATCCTCATAAATGCTAGATCGGTTCTATACGAATTGCCGATGCTCAGACCACTCACAGTAATATACAGGCCCCTGTAATTGCCATCAATGAATCTTGGTGTCACTCGAACATCCTGGAGGAAGAAATAAGGTTAGATAAGCACACAAACTTTCGCTGCGACAGGGGAGGTGGTAAGGGAGGAAGTTGTCTCATATACTTTCAGAATGAACTTACTGAATCACAGCTAGAAAGCAGTGCTGTCAGCCAAGTCTCGTAAACCGTCAACGTCCAGCTCTTGCTATGCTCGGGCTCGCGCTGTTCCCTGAAGTTTCTCAGAAACGCTTGGTAATAACGGCCGCGAAAACCAAAACACCGATTGGCCACTCGAGGATTCTTTATTGTAACACCAACATATAAACACTGTTACAACTAAGGTCTGTGAACAAATATTACAATAATAAATCACAATATTACTTCCGACAGTTTTGGTCTGACTTCTTTCTGAACAGCGACCGATGAGACGATGACTGGTGTATCGATGTCTCCGCGAAAATTAGGGAAGTTGGGTTTGAGCAAACAACAATGAATTGATCGTTCAATCTTCAACTGCATTGACA